TTTAAATATATTAGATATATCTTCATTGTCGAATTTATATGTTTTACTTCTTTATATGTAACCGTATAACTTGCAATAAAAATTCAGGCCTATTATACACACAATCATGGCAAAGCATTGGAGGTAGTCTCATTTGCTAAGTGGAATATGTCAAATAAAAATTATTTTCATGCCTAAAATATTTACATATGAAAAGCTTAGTTTACAAATTAGTCAATAATCACTTACTATCGAATATGGTAGAAGATGCATCAACGCTTGGTAACATTGATTTGTGAAAGTTTTAAAAATGTTTTTTCAAAAATAAGTACATTTTTGTATGTTTCTTTTATGGCGTCAATGGAAGTTTGTTATGATATTCATTTTCCAACCATTTTAACGAATTTGAAGAATTTCTCATTCAAAATTTTCAATTTCTAAATTGGTTTGACAGTTCATTGTCTCACCAGCTGTGTCGATGCTACCAACTGTATTCTTCCACCATGCTATCGAATATATAAAACGCTAGTTTGACTGACTTGAGTCGTGGGCTGAATTCTTCGTAGAAGAACAGAGGAGCGAAGGGTGAACAAATATACAACTCCTTTGTTTGCACCATTAGTTCTTGAGTAGTCACCTAATTGCGTTTTCAGCTTCAAAGTATCAACTGTTTGGTGTTTATCGGTCCCGAGTTTGTTTACAATGTTGTTGAAAAACTATAAAGGAGGGCAATACAAAGTTTAACAAACTGTAATGTACAGGTATTCGACAAAAAGTTATGGGAGCTATATCCAAATCGGAACCAATCTTGATAAAGTTTGGAAAATACATTTCTGAGCTGTATTTGATATATTTCCCTGAATATTGTTACTACGGAGTCCATATTACGGCTGTGGGTAACAAATATAACAAATCGGATGAGCAGTATACATGGGAGCTATAGCAATATTTGAATCGATCTTCACCAACTTTTGCCATACTAGCTTCTAGACTCAATTCGGTCGTAAGTGTCAAATTCCATCCCATTTGGACAAATAATAGACGTTTGGTGCACAATAAAAGGTAAATCGGACGAATATCCAAATCTGAACCGATCTCGATAAAATTTAGCAAATGTATTTCTGAGCTGTATTTGATATATTTCCACAAAAATTGTTGTTACAGAGTGCATATTACGGCTACGGAGGACAAAAATAAAAAATCGGATGAACAGTATATATGGGAGCTATAGCTGAACCGATTTCGATAAAATTTAGCATACTTATTTTCAGGCCTAATTTCAATAGGGTTCGTCCTTGGGCCAAACAAATGATTTTGTGCAAAATTTCTTCTGGATAGGGCAATAAAGGCGAACTGTACTTTGTTTACAACAAGTAAAAAACATTAAGTTCGGCCAGGCCTAACTTTTAATACCCTCCAACTTAGGGTAATGGAAACATTACAACCAATTATGACCCACAAATACCAATTTTTAGACATATTCGTGGGAGGTACCGCTATATAGGGCTACATAAAAACGTGGACCTATACATACAATGTTTCGCCAACGGAGCTAAAACCCATTAGGACACAAAAATACCAATGTTTAGGCAAATCCATGAAAACATGTGGCAAAATCATCAAAATACCCAATATCGGGAGGTACCGTTATATGGGGGCTATACCAAAACGTGGACCTATACATGCAATGTTTCGCCACCGCAGCTAGATCCCATTATGACCAACAAAAACCAATTTTTAGACAAATCCATGTAAGAATGCGGCAAAGATCATAAAAATAACGAACATCGGGAGGTACCTACGTCAAATAATGTGGCTTGTATTGTGATTTCAACAGACAGACAGACGGATATCGTTGAATCGACTTAGAATTTTATGCTGGTTATGAATATGTATACATTATGGGGTCTACGACGAATATTTAGACATGTTACAAACGGAATGACAAAGTTAATATACCCTCCTTTCCAAGGTGGAGGGTATAAAAATACATGGACAGACGGACGGTGTGTTCAAGAACTGCAAGAATGTAAGAGTTTTTACTACGACTGTGCTAACCTCTAACTTAATGCAAAATTCCGTGTCGATTGGTTTTTAATTGTGACCTGTAAAGCCTCTTCAAGATCAGGAAAGTTGTAATTTTTGGTTCATTTGATCCCCTAAATATATATCTTGAAAAATAATTGGATTTAATTCTGACCCTAATTCTATTCACATGCAAAATTTCTTTATAATAATCCAAAAACATAGTGTTATAAGGTGAAAAATATTACAAAACGAAAATGCAATATTGTAAGTCAAATATGAAAAAATCGCATGCGATAAAAAATATGACAAAAATATAAAAAAATATTCACTTTTTTTATTGGCATATTTTTACGCGATTTTCTTATATTTTATTCTTTTCTGACAAGAAGACATTCCGAATTTTCAGAATCCATCCAGCAGTTCTTGAGTTATAACCGGTCTAACTAAAATCCCCTTCATTATATATGAGATTACAGATATTTTGCTAAATATGCTATATCTTGGATATGAGCATCAATGTTACGGTCAGAAGTGACATTTTTGTACATTTGTGATTTCGGTAGAATTCGCGGTTTAGTGGAAATGTTCTTATTTTTTACATACAAGTTGTGGTCTATCTTACCCGCTAAATATTCTACCAGGACCAAACAAAATGGTAGCCTTCTGACCAGCCCTAAACTCTAGCCCCATGCTAAATTCCGCGTCGATTGGTCTGTAATTGCGACCTGTAGGGCAACTGCAAAATCAGAATATTATTCTGTTTTTTGTCCATTTCAACCCCTAAATACCCCTAAATAACCCCACATCCATGCTAAATTTTGTGAAGATCGGACAATAATTGCGACCGTGATCACAAATTAACATGGACAGACGGACATACATAGCTAGATTGTCTCAGCTTCGCGAGATTGGAAGATCCATGTATACTTTCCTATGTTGGAAACCAATGTTTCGAGGTTTGGCCCAATCAAAGTTATAATACCCTCAACACATAGTGTTGTAGGGTATAAAAAAACTAAAAGACCGAATAAAAGAAACCACAACCAGTAAAGAAAGTCTTAAAGTCGGCCCGGGTCGGAGCTCCGCATAACAATTAAAAAGTTTTTATGGGAGAATTCAATCATACACGCTATCATTATAATGAAAAATTTAAAGTTCAAAGGACTAAATATGCCGAAGCATTTGTATCTTTTAAATTCGGATTTGTATTGTCCATTTGGTGCACAATTAATATGAAATCGGATAAAGATATATGTGGGAGCTATATCCAAATCTGAACCGATCTCGATCAAATTTAGCAAATGTATTTCTGAACTGTTTTTGATATATTTCCCCAAATATTGTTGTTACAGAGTGCATATTACGGCTGCGGAGGACAAAAATAACAAATCGGGAGCTATAGCTATATCTAAACCGATTCCGATCAAATTTAGCATACTTATTTTCAGACCTAATTTGGTTGTATGTGCAAAATTCCATACAATTCGGGTTGATATTGCACGTTTGGTGCACAATAAAAGGCAAATCAGACGAAGATTTATATGGGAGCTATGTTTAAACTTTGACCGATTATCTCCAATTTCAATAGGGTTCGTTCTTGGGCCAAACAAATGATTTGTGCAAAATTTCATCTGGATAGGGCAATAAATGCAAACTGCACTTTGTTTACAAAAATACATGAACAGACTGACGGACGGACATGCATAAATCGACTCAAAATGTGATTCTATGCAGATCACCAAAAGGAACTCTGGGTCTATCTCGTTTCCTTTTGCCTGTTACAAACAAATGCAAAAAGACATAATACCCTGACCACCTTGTGGTAGTGTAGGTTTCGTTCACCTATTGGGATTGGAAGGACCTAATCATATTTTCCGAATCCTCTTTAATGGCCACAATCATAAGATGTCATCAGTTGCAATACCACAAATATACTTTGGGAATCCTCCCATCAAGACTCTAATATTTAGATATGAGAAATCTTTTTCGTCAATAATTGTGTAACGATGGCCCACCGGCGTAGCCGACTATTTCGGCTAGTTTTTTCGAATCAAATTTACCGGACTAATTTGGTGTATTGGTTATTTTTAGGCACAACCTCAGTATAACGGTATCTACAGATTTTAAGTCAAATTCATTTATCATGTTCCTAGAGCATATAAATCACCCTTTTATATTGCCTCATATAGGGAAAATCTTTATATCCGGAACATCACTGATCCCAATCCCGATTTCTGACAAAATGTGCTGTAATTTAACATTTTGGGTTTTTATTGGATGAACATTTGCTACACGAAAACATTTTATGGACATTTTAATTGGATGAACATTTGCTACACGAAATTTTTTTCGCGATTTCAATTGTCAAATCAGTGCAACAGTTCTCGGATTATAAGCGTAGTAACAATATAACTTTCTTTTATATACATATATCTACAAATAACAATATTGTCCGTTGCCGCTTTATACAAAACACAACACCATCGCATTCAAACTAAGCAAACACGACAAACGCAGTAAAAATTACAATTATACATTCCAAATTTTAAATTAAAATTTCACATTTACACGCGATTTTTGGATTTTATCCTTTTTTTCTAAGAGACCATTCCATATTGGTCTGAATCGCCAAAACAAGATATGCCGTTCTTGAGTTATAAGCACAGTAACTTCTTCTTTTTTTGTATGTATTGATCATGGAAAAATTAAGAAGGTAAAGTCGTTTCAAATAAGCATTCCCATCTCTGCATTTTCTATAATTTACCTTGTCGAATTTCAATGCATAAAAACAGGTTCCCATCTCACATTTGTGTAAATAAATAAATTCCTATTGATTTTTTACTATTAAATGTTGTCAAATGAATAATTTTAGAAAAAATAGTAAACATATGATTGCATGACTTCTACCATGGTACAATAAAAGGTAAGGTAGAGCTAAATAATATTAAAAATGAAATGAGTGCACAATATGTCTAAAATTGTCACATAGATTTCAACTCCAGGACCTACATCGTGCTTCACCTGGAAAATGCGATCACATTTAAACAAACATAAATGACATACAAGGCGTTATGGGGCTCATTTCGAAACGTGGATCTACTTCTTTCATATGACAATAATCCGTCCAATGAGAACTCAAAATGCAAAATTCATTGGGACTGCAATCAGCGAAATACCGAATGTAAAGGGTGCAAAATAGTAGAGCAAATTGGACATTTAGTAAGAAATTCTTCCAGAAATTCTTCTTAAACATTTAAGATACGTTAAATCGTTTTTGCAGGTCAAAATATGGGTCAAAACCCCTGTATAGGGATACAACCTGATTTCAAGTATATTTTATATTTTTTTTTTTCATACAAATTTCGGCAAATATTGGTAATTTGAGAAGAAACCATCCTTGCAAAAAATTATAATTTTTGGTAAAATCATCATGTGATTTACGCTATTTTCGGGGTCTTGGCCATTGTTTTCATTTTTTAAGAGGGAAGAAAAGCTCTTTACATATAATAGGGTCCATCTTGGTTTTGACCACATTCATCAATTGATTTGGCTAAAAATTGTATTTATGCTACTCTGGAGATAATTGCCCACATAGGCATTTTAAGTAAAGTCACCACATAATGTGTACCCCCAAGTCCACTTTCCCAATCAATGTGAAAATTTTGTATTTTGACTCCGAAATGTCAAACTTGGACTCATTTAGTCAGAAATTGTGGCAGAAACATAAAATAAATTACGAATATTAGAAAGTAGCACAGGACCGAACATTTGTTTTATCGTCATTGAATTATACTATGATGGAAATATGGACTTAATGGGTGTTTAACTACAATTTAATTTAATTTCTTTAAAATACAACCCTTTGCTCTTTTTCTTCAATTTGTCAAATACCATTTTATTCAACTTTGAACTTTCGTTTAAAGTTAGTGATGACAAATTGTAACGAGTAAAAATGATCAATTCGCACCTCTCTTGTGACATCTAGGCTTGCTCGCTACTTTTTAACTTACTTGTTATTCGGATTTTCGCTCAACAACATACAACACCCATTGTAAAAAGGTAAAAAATATAAGTTTTCCGACTAATATTTCTAATAAAACCGCCAATTTTTATTATACAAAAATTCTAATTATCCTGTGTTTTATTTTCCTTTTTTCATTTTCGCTGCTCCGCAACATTTTTGGTCTCTTCGAGCCGAGATACGTGCTTCCAGCAACAAAAAAAAACTAACCTGTGTCTCTTTTGTTTTTGCAAAGGTTTGACTTCGTCAAAGCAGCAAGCACCTACCAGTGCCTACAATCACACACTTGCGGCCTAATCATCCATCTCTTCATTTATTTTTATTGAAACAATCACTACATCACTAAAAAGGTACGTACCGTCCATTTAGTGAGCATAAGCTGCGAGTGTTTCGTTTTGAAATAAAAATTAAATTACAAAAACAACGAGCAAAGTGCTTAACTACAGTCGTTTTTACAAGTGTCCGTCCGTCGGTAATTCGTTTTGTTCATACATTTCCAACAGTGCCGGTTTTTATTTCGTGTAATAATTCTCTTCAAGAATACTACACTCTTAATACCCGCTCTTTGTTGTGTTATACGAGAAAAAAATATAAGCAAAAAGTGTTTATTCCAATACATAAGCAGTGATCAGTGCTTTTATTGTGGTTGTGTTTGTTTATTTTGTGATCTTTGGCATAAAGAAGAACAAAGTAAACACTAACAACATTAGGTGTGTCTGGTTACTTTTCCTGCAGGAATTGTCCAGCAACATCTTTCTGAGAGAGTAAGGTAGTTTTATTCTCTTTTGCAAGGAAAATGCGAAAAGTAAGCAGACGGTATTCCTGCAGAAGCTTGCAACTAATCAGCTGTTTCGTCAAAACAAACCAATTTGCCTCCCATTAAAAGAATTAAAAGAAAGGAAGTACCACCAATTTTAAAAGTTTTATAAATAAAAAGAACATTAGCAATAAAATACAAACATGAGCAATAAAAGAAGGATAGATTTTATGTGTTCCCCGGAATCCTTTAAATGTGTCGCTAATGGTGATTGTCTAAAAATGTTGGAAATAGTCTTTTATTTCTTCATTACATATCAATATTTACGTTTTCCACGTTTTTTTAAAGTTGTTCTCCAAAAACAATTAGTCTTTCAAATTCCAAAAAAAAAAACATTTTCAAATAAAAGTACAAAAATAAATAAAAAAAAACAATAGAAAACATCTGATTGAATGTCGATAAATGAGAAGAAGAAGAGTTGCAAGTGATTGCAAGAAGAAATTTGTCCAGCAAGAATTTGCAAACTCTCACTGAAAAAACTGTCAAAATGTCTCTCTCCAACCGCTCTCTTTTGCAGAACTTTCGGGTTAACAGACGATTTCCAGTAACAATTTGTAACAATTGTTACAAATTTTAGGGTAACCAGACACACCTTTTACTGTTGAACAGTACAACAACAACAATACAATCACATAATAGTGCTGTGTACTCTGTGGTTGGTTGATTTGTAATAGGTAATCAGTAACCACCCAGCTAACAATTTTTTCCGAGGGCTCTGATGTCCGATTTTTTGTCGAGATTTTCTGCCGTTTTTTCAGAAAAGTTTCCGAGTAATCTGCACATACTCGTTTCTTTTGTTTTGTTTGAACAAAACAAAGCTAAAGAGAAAAGAACAGCGTATACAGAGAGTTAACTCTTTTTCTAATGTTACTCCAGAAAAGTTTCCGAGTAATCTGCACATACTCGTTTCTTTTGTTTCTTTTAAAAAAAAAAACACAAAAATTCTGACATTAGCAGAGAGTTCAATTTTTCCTGCTGAGATTTATTTTACCGTTCCTTTCGAAAAGTTTCCTAGTACATGTGCAGAGTTGAAATTATTTGAAGAATTTTGTGTATACAACTTTTTTGTTTTTTTTTTTGATTATGATCAGTTTGTCGTCAGAATTTGAACGCAGCACGAGTGCAGAATGTTGCAGTGAAAAGTTAAAATGAAAATTAAAGGGAGATTTGGACCTTCAGTACCCTATGGTAAGTAAGTACCTTTCTACAATTACTACTTTTATTAATATCTTGAATTGTTTAGCTACGCGGTTTAAAAAATCAACGCCATGACAATGTAAACACTTTTACATATGAACATTTTAAACTTATTTTTCAAACTGACTAGGTCTCCGTTTTCGTGGCACGATATGAGAATTGTCTATACAGGTCCACGATATCGTATATCCCCCATATAACGGCACCCCAGATATTCGGTATCTTGATGATTTTACCCACATTTTTTATCGGAATTGTCTGAAAATCTACACAAGGAGGTCCTTGTGAATACTTTACCCCCTGAGAGAGAATTATCTATATGGGTCCACCATATCGTATAGCGCCCATATAACGGTACCCCCGATATTTAGTATTTTTATGATTTTATGCACATTGGAATTGTCTGAAATTCCACAAAAGGAGTCCCTTGTGGAAATTTTACCCCCTCAAAAAGAATTGTCTTTGTGAGCACTTTACCCCCCGACAGAGAATTCTCTATATAGGTTAACGATAACGTATATTTTGAAAATCCTCACAAGGAGTTCCTTGTGAGTACTTTACACGCAGACATAGATTTGTCTTTATAGGTCCACAATATCGTATATCCCACATATCGGCACCTTCTTATATTCGATATTTTAAAAATTTTAAAAGAATTTTTAATGGATTGTATTTTTTTGAAAATTTTCTAATTCGTTCCAAATGGTGGAGGTTATTCAAAGTTCGGCCCGGCCGAACTTACTGCTTTTTTACATGTTATTATTTAGATGCGGCATTGGAACATATTCCGGGAACTATAGGAAGTGCCATATAAACCCATATAAAACTTTCTTCAACTCGGCTAAAGATAGGCTTAACAAACCTTAAGCTGGGCCAAAATCGAACTAAGTCAACCTTAAACTCCTTTGTTCATCTGCGAATAAGCCAGCCGATAACTTGAGCCAGCCAAATATGCGCTTTTTATATTTCCACCCTTAGTTATATTGATTTACATTGAATTGCAACTTTTTATGTTTTTTTATATATTAGTTTCCGTATTCCTTATATTTTACAAAAAAGAAAAACTGAATACAAATGTTCTGTCATTAAATTGAAAAATATAAACATAAACAATTATCTAAAAACTAGATAAAGTTTTATTATTTCGGTTTTTCGATTACAACTATAGAATAAATTTAGATTTTTTTACGAATTTCGTATCAATGAATTATTCGAATATTTCCCGATTTTCGGATAAAACTATAGAATAAATTCAGATTTTTTCCGAATTTCGAATCAAAATCCGAAAATTTTCAGAATCTCGAATCAAACATCCGATACGTTTCCGAATGTCGCATCAAACATCCTATATTTCTCCGATTTTCCGATAAAACTATAGAACAAATTCAGATTTTTTTTCCGAATTTCGTATCAAACATCCGAAAATTTTCCAAATTTCGTATCAGACATCCTATATCTCTCCGAATTTTCCTTTTTTCTTTGCCGAATTCTATACGAATTCGCCCCGAAACTCTTACGTTCTTTCAGAATTTTTTCGGTAAAATCTTTCAGAATCTTGGACAATCTCACACAATATTTTTCCGATTTCTTTCCGAATTCGACATCAGAGTCGGAAACTTGTGCAGAGTTTTTTTCCGAATTCGGAAGAAAATCGGAAAAAATGTTTGCTGGGCAAATACAACATATAATAGGTCTGTTCGGGCAAAAAGTTGAAAATTCGTTTATTAGGTCTGTTCGGACCAAAAATTAAAATAATTTTTTGGAAACATACGGTTCTGTTGGAAATTGTTTGGGTCCGTATATAGTGCAGCCTACATTCGGTCGTTTCGATATTTAATAATATTATTCGTTATTATTATATAGTACTAGCTGGTCCAGACCGCGTTGCCAGTCTGTAGTTTTAGTCTTAAACGCATAGTTTTTGAAGCATAATAATTCACACATCTGGTTCACATAAGTGGCACAATTTTTAGTATAAATGACTAAAGAGAAATAAATATGCATTTCAAACATGACAATATAGGTTCACGTACCGGGCGATTTATAGAGTTTCAAAAAACCTGATCTTATTTTCCAGCCAGAGGTTTTGAATTGGGAGTTGGAAACCCGAATAATATAGCACATTTATTAAACAGTATACATTAACTATTTATAATAGTCCCATGTAAGATGGTTCTCTGCCAAAGTAGCATTGACATTGACAAAACATTGAGATGAACTAGAATGTGACCAAGATCCTGGAAATAGTTAAAATTAGCGGATGCCTTCATATAAGGGTTATACCAAAGCTTGGTCTTATACTTATAATTATTTGAAGAATGTTTTGTTCTTTCTAAAATCTTAAATAAACAACATTTAAGGAATTAAAAAAGGGCTATATCACAATGCAGACCAAC